GAGAGAGAGAGAGAGAGAGAGAGAGAGAGAGAGAGAGAGATATTTTCTGGCTGCTAAGAAAGATTTGAGGACTTTGAGGTTCTTTTTATAAGTGGATTGCATTATTTAAAGATCTCAGTCAAAAATGATAGACAAACGAATGTTTCCCATACGAAATGATTTTACAGCACTGACTAACCCAGCTTCTCTAAAAATGGAAAATAGCATCCATTTCTCTCTCTCTCTCTCTCTCTCTCTCTCTCTCTCTCTCTCTCTCTCTCAAGTTGTTTTATGTCTGGGGAGTCCTTGTGACCACTTGTAGTGTTATCTATTTTTCAATATTAATACCCTTGTAGATATATCCTTGTTATCCTCATCCATTGTCTCTGCAATGATCCGGAATGTTACAGTGGTGGTGAACTTCTTTTTTTTTTTTTTTTTTTTTTTTTTGTTTTTTCGAGACAGGGTTTCTCTGTGTAGCCCTGGCTGTCCTGGAACTCATTCTGTAGACCAGGCTGGCCTCGAACTCAGAAATCCGCCTGCCTCTGCCTCCCAAGTGCTGGGATTAAAGGCGTGCGCCACCACCGCCCGGCCAGGTGGTGAACTTCTATGGCAGTGAAACAAGGGTCTTCTCGCTCAGGAGCCTGGGAGGATGTGACCGTGACACGTGACCGGAACACACAGGGAACGGTTCCCTTGGAGGAGCAGCCTGGACCTCTGGCCTATGTACCAATGTGGGCCCGGTTCTAGGAGCAGCCTGGACCTCTGTGCACTCCCCTCTAGTCCAGTCAGCACTAGGAACATTCAGGCTGGTTCTCAACGGTGATGGTTTCCTGTTCCCTGAACTTTGCCAGGCTTATTCTTGGCATCTAATGTTTGCAAGACACACAGAGGAGAACACAAACACGGCGTATTCTCAAGCCATACTGTGTAACCATTTCCATTCCTTCCTAAGACAAAGATCACCTACTCCTTTGGAAAATTGTGAATTGTGACCGTTGCTCTGCTGGATGTTCACAACAGCCAACCCGACCCAAGCATGCGCACATTACTAGTGACCGGAGCAAAGGTCCAGATACCCTAAGCCAGGATGCGGGGAAGCACTCTGCCCTAGGTCTCCCACAAAAGCATTTTTCCTTCAGAATGAGATCCATGCCCACTTAGGCACTCTTGAGGGTTGACTGGTAGCCTACTCTTCTAAATATGTTTTTCTTTTACGTTTCACCTCATGGACCACCCTTCCGTCTCAGCGCCTTTTTCTAATACTTGCGTATTACTCTATTCTGTTTTCATCCTTTCCCTTGCCCAAATCCAACATTTTCATTTCAGCTTGTCCACTCTTGCTAGCGGAGAGCAAAGAAGGAACACGCATCTCCACTCTCTCCTTTTGGGAGTCTAATTCCAGGTCATTTTTGTCATCTAAGCCTGAATTGATTTCTGTAACCATTTCAGGGATTTGATAGCGAGAGGTGGCATCTGGCCGTCTTACTGTCCAAGCACAGCACAGTTCACTCTGCTGATTTTCACAGTGACTGAGAGATACCCCTTGTGTGTATTATCCCGGTATGTAGCATATTAATAATACCACAGTAGGTAAAGAACTGGCCAGCCAGAAGGAAAAAAAATAGCCCTGAGCCATTTGTGTTCTGCCATACAATACTATTGGCAATTCAATCATGAGAGTCTCAATCACGTGAAGTAACCATTATTGACCTATAATAAAAAAGGCAATTTCATGAAACTCAATGGAGAATTGTATTCTTTGGTCTATTTCCCGTCTTCGTCTTCCCAACTAGTTGCTTAGTTCCTTTTATAAAATTAATTTTTCTGAGAATTTCTTACATGAGTGTACTGTGGCTTTGTAACATTCTCAGGCCTCCCTGCCCACTCTTGTGTGGACTTAGTGATTCTTAGGGTTTTTCTGAGGTCACTGTCCTGCTTGGTTGTTCTGATGACAGGGCTAACTCATCTTAGGAACCACAGAGCTAAGTGAAAAGTGCTATCCTTTCTCCAAGGTGTACATTCCCTGGAACCAAGGGCTTCTCTCTCTGATTCTTCTGGCATCCAGTTTTTGTTTCTTTCCTTTTCTTTTGGAACTGAGTTGAGCCTAGGACTCTGCACATGCGGGGCAAATGCCCCAGCACTAAGTAGTAGCCCAAGTTCCATTTCTACTTTTTATTTTGAGGCAGTCTCACTATGTCACCCAGACTGCCCTTGAACCCCCACACATAGCCCAGGAAAGTCTCCTCTCAGCTTGGTGTCCTGAGGAACTGGGATCACCTCATCACCC